TACGCAAGTGTTAGGCAGTGTGTCTTTTTATTTAGAAAATTCATAGATACATAATTCTAAATACCGAAGTGTTTATTCTACTGTGCTGACAATGCGACCCTATGAATTTTAAAAAATGTTTCTTAAGCTTCACTGAAAAGTTCAGGGGCTTTAATTAAAACAACTTCATGCCGTCATCTATCAGTGGCATCTGCGTTCCAAAGAGACTTTTGTTTCTTCACATTACTACCACTTGGCGCCATATCTCATGCAGCATCTTCAGACACAAGACTATCGTCTTTTGACGTCCTTTGCAGTGAAGCACAAAGATATGCGGCCAATTTTCGCAGAATTCATCTAAGCTGAAAGTACTAAAGAAATATGGAGTATGAGCTGTTGTAAAACTACACAGTGGTTCTAATGGTGAAATCCCTGATAGTGTTCATGTGAAATCTGCCTTTCCAATATATACGTAAAGATCCTGTTTTAAACTTCAACAATTCCAGTCCTGCTAAGTATTTGGCAAGAAAATTCAGATAATTGTAACTGACTATTGCAATCCGCAGAGTTAACATTGTAAGTGGAAGCTACTTCATCATAATTGCAATACAGCTGAAGCTCAATTTAATGAAGTAATGGCCACGCTCAAATTATTTTGTTAAATCGGGAAGTTTGTAAACTCCATAAAGTGATTTTTCAGTCCTTTAAAGTGCAAACGTTGAACTTAACGACACCAAAAAGTTATAGTGGCATTGTATTTTCCAGTAAGCTACACTACCGCTTGTACAAAGTTCATGAAAGTTGCATGAACCATGGGCATCTCCTGTTCCCGACGTGGAAGGTGCAATATCCAGGCAATCCAGTCTAGATGCCTGATCACATGATGCTATGACAGCTTGCCAATATACAAACACGGGGAAAATGAATGGAGTGATTGTGAGAGAACGCTGAGCCAAAAAAGTTGCGAGGAGGCTATCAGTGGCATATGGTGCATAAACCATGAAATAGCTAAAGCAAACATCATCGCCCCAGGCACATCTGGTGCATAAGATCTCTACCGGCTGTCAAGTCTATTGTTCTATGCATGGGCATGGTGTACAGTCATCAGCAAGCCTAACACAAACACTCCACAGCGTGACTTGGACTAGTTTTACTGATGGCAGCTATGAAGCGCTGGGTGCTATTGTTGAAATAACACCTCGGTATGTTTGAATAGTATGCAAACATGCATAGGTAACATCTATGCAAGAGAACCCAAAGCTATGTGGCCCTGGCATCAATCGAACCATTTCAGGACATGCTGTAGAGTGTTCGTCTTAAGCTTTCTGACAACTACTCATGAAGCTAGATCAAAACAAAACTAAGGTTGACTAGGGTAGCTAAATTTTTTACTGCAATAGCATTAGAGTGCATGATTGAGTGAAAGCAAGTTTGTGTCAAAATTAAAGTTAAATCACCAATTTTTACTTGTTTTCTTAAGGAAAATCTTTGTTAAATTGGATTTAGTAGCCAGTTTCATTAATTTGCATTGATGACATCGAATCCTATGGGTACCTGCTGGGGAATGGAAATTTCTTTGTTAGATTGGAAACTTTATAAAATAAGGTTTTGTTAGATGAAGTTTTAACAGTAGTGAGAATAGTATTTCGGTCCCATGTCAAAGGGAAGGACAAAGTAATTTGATGTCTCAATATTTGCTATCAACACGATGGCTGATGAAACTGCCTTCAATGAAGTGATAGACGCAAAGTTTATAAACACTGCACAGTCTTCCACTAGTCACATGGGCGAAAATTCTTATAATCAATATATCTGTCCATGCTTGCTTTTGTGCATGTTATAAACATTTACCTTCTAGCAGTTCCCACCATTTTCTTATCAGGTGCTCTTAATGACTATACCAGGCCTCACGTGGCCAAAGATGTGCAACCAGTAGCTGTCACAATATTACTGATAGAGTGACTGCACTGTGATTTGAAGTCTGCCTGCTCTAGAGATTTGCACGAGCCTAGGTCCACTAAAAAACACTCTCTTGGTAAGGTAGCCTTCATGGTGGGTCTGGGCCAAGAAGCTTTGGACTTCTGGTCAGGCCCAGCTGGGCTTGTTCTCTGACAGATTTTTAATCTTCTTCCTAATACATATGCAAGGCTTGTCTGAAAAGTAGTGAGACTGATGTCACCGAAAATTTATTTCTGCATCAAGTGCAAAGTCTTGTGGTTTTCCTTTCAAAGTAATCCCCCTTCAGATTAATGTGCTTTTTCATCCTTCTCGGCCACACTTGTGTGTATTGTTAAAATGATTACCGTGGGATGATCTGCAGCTCCATAGTGAAAACCCCTTTATGGCCTCCTCATCTTCAAAACAAGTTCTTTTAATACATTTCTTGAGCTTTGTGAATAAAGAAAGCTGCCGGGGGCAAGATCGGGTGAGAAAGTTGGTTCTGGAAAATTGATGTACCTTGTGGCTAGAAATTACCAAATTCTGAGGGCATTATGACTTCATCATGCGCTTGGTGCATTGTCTTCATGTAGCAGCCATGATTTGTCTTGGCACAATTACCTTCAGTCTTTTCTCACATACTGAATCAAGCAAAGGCTATGGAATCTCTTGGTATGCTTGTATGAAAGAAAAAATGTAACTGACATTACTTTTCTTTTGATTTGGACTGCTTAGCTCACTTCGGTAACAACAGAGACTTCCACAGACAGCTCTGGTGCCACTGACACCATGTTCCAGACACATGACTTAAGCACACATCTGCAGGACATGGTGTCACCTTCACGCATTACACAAAGCAGTTTGAGCACTTCTGACGGTATTTCCTCTGACCAAACTATAATCTTCAAGCTGCTCTGTGCTTTAAAAACTGGACCATTGTGGCATTCACGGACAGCCTGCCAAAGGAATACCTTGTTTCGTAGACCAAATGTGCTCAAACTGCATGTGTGAACCTCCCGTGTCCCACTGCTATTCCAAAAATGCACAAACGAGCTGTATGTGGCCGCTCACAATGACAGAAAATTGAGCTAGCTGGTAGAGATTATCGCAAAAGCAGTTAGGCATGCTGACATGGACATAAATGAAGAGAAATGGACAATAAAAATTAATTGAAAAGCTTGACTATAGTGAAAAATGAGGCAAACGCAAAACACATTCCCAGAAATGGCAGTGCTATCTGTCAAGTATGGACACACATGAACCTGCACAAGAAATGCCTGCTTCAGGCTTGATATTTCATCTTTATGTAAGGCAATCGAATGCTGCACTGTCAGGATTATGAATGTACGTTGAAATTTCATGACAGCACAATTTTATTCACACATAAGAATAAGGCAGTGTGTTTTATGATTGAGGTCTAGAAAATTAATCATAATTGATTGATATGTGGGCTTTAATGTCCTAAAACCACTATATGATTATGAGAGACGTTGTAGTGGAAGGCTCCGGAAAGTTCGACCACCTGGGGTTCTTTAACGTGCACCCGAATCTGAGCACACGAGCCTACAGCATTTTCGCCTCCATCGAAAATGCAGCCGCCGCAGCTGGGATTCAATCCCGCGAATGGCAGGTTAGCAACCGAGTACATAAAATCAATCTTATAATAAGGGCATGTGTAAATATGATAATGAAATGCCATAGTACCTTTAATGCACACCTGCTTGTATCCCTGATTGACAAGTGGCACTGTCATTCCAGAGCAAGCACAGATAAGCTTTGTGTCCGCATTCTTTTTCACCACAGTATAATCTTTCAATTGTCTCTTCTTATCATTTCAGGCTGAATTCGCGTGTCCAACTTTTTCTGCAATGTATGTGGCATCGCATACAAAATGGTGATACGCATGAGGGACACCTCTTAACTCTACTGTTATGGCCATCTACGTAATACGGACATAGCCATTATGCAATTGCAAGAAGTTGTATATACACCTGTACACTATGACATGCACTACTGTATAATTCCGAGCAACCGCCTCCTTCTCCTTTTCAGAATATTAAAAATATGTGCAAATAACCAACAAATGCTCCCTTCCTTCGCCTCTAGCATTTTCTTTTTCCAACTCGAATCTCCACTATAGGACCCTGCTAGGAACCCAAGTTCTGAAAGCCTGCTTCATGGTTGCATTCCTAGTAGTCGCAAATCGTTGGAACATATGAAAGACATCTTTCTTCCCTTGTCATAACACACAAAATTTCAGAATTTCGCACAGATTGCATTCAGTTCAGTAGAAACAGTAAATGCATGTGAATGCAATCAAAGCATTTGATTAAAAGCTCATGTGTGCATTCTTCATAGAGGCTCTCCTTCTGCCATTTTGAATTTTGGTCCACAATCGAGCAACAACTCACTTTCAAATCTTCTCTGTTTCACTATAGAAAGAGGGGGGGGGGGGGGAGGGGCTTGTTTCAAAATTTATGGTACTGCAATATGAAGCCCTACTACAGGTAACAAATTTCTGAATCAAGTCGGGTAAAAGTTGATATGCCCTGCCAAACATTTTTCTTTTCCAGCTTTTCTTCCTGTTATATTATATTTGTACTTAACAGAATGGTACAGTGATCTCTCATTGATCATGTTCGGAGAATAAATACCGCCCCGCCGCGGTGGTCTAGTGGCTAAGGTACTTGGCTTCTGACACGCAGGTCGCAGGATCGAATCCCGGCTGCGGTGACTAAATTTTCTATGGAGGCAAAAATGCTGTAGGCCCGTGTGCTCAGATTTTGGTGCACATTGAAGAACCCCAGGTGGCCAATATTTCTGGAGTCCTCCACTACGGTGTCTCTCATAATCATATGGTGGTTTTGGGACATTAAACCCCACATATCAATCAATATCATGTCAATGAGGACAATAAAAACCGGTTAGATGTTAGAGCTCGAACTGTCTTTAGGGTAACTTCCAGACTAGCCATTTATAAACTTTAAATGACTAGATTGCAATAATTGTAACTGCCAACCTTAAAAGTCTATATGAGCTAGAATATCTTTTCAAACCGTGGGTAGTATAGTATTGTCATCATGTGCAGACTGTTCTTTCAGTTTTATTAGCTCAGCTTTTAGAAAAGCTTAAACTACAGAGATACTGTCGACAACTCACAATTTGAATGAACAAGTAAGCTACCATATAATATAGGTTGACTTTGTTTTTTTTCCAATGAATGTTACCTATAATTAGCTATTGACCTTGACCAACAAAACTCTATATTTGTCGTCAATGGTAGCAAAAATACCTAGCTAGTGAATTTTCACTGTTACATCCGCCGCTTTTCAAGCAGTTCCAACTTCACTGGTAAATTACTTAGGTATATTTTCAGTAAACCGCCACATCACAAAAAAAAGAGAGAGAGAGAATAAAAAATATTAGGAACTCTAATAACATTCGGATATCACCATGAATGTTTCCAATTATAGTTCAGACTTAGCCACCACCATAGCTGCACACGATGGCACATTCTGCCAAGATATTTCTGTCAACATATGAAATTGTGCACATGAAAATGGTGTCATACATGGAGCCATAATCACTATGTGGTTCTGTCGCCAACAGCTGAAGGCATTAAATAACTAAATACAAGCAGCACACTTCATGACAACTGAAAAACACAAGAAATGCGAAAACAATGCAATCACATTGCAATAACCTCCAATCATGATGAGCCTATGCCAACACGAAAGCTTTTAGTTGGCTAAAAAAATGAAAAAGCTTCAAACAGCAAAACAATTGACACTTTTTCCTAACTGATAGGGCCACATGTTCCTGATGAGCATTGTCAGGTTCTAATAGTAACAATATTCTGTTTTTTTTCTAAGAAATAGTCAAATAAAGATTAACAAATGGTCATCATGATCGGCTTACTGGTAGGTGCTACTTGTATGATCCTGAAAAAATCGAGACAAAAACTTTATGAATCATTGCCGCAAATTCTGGATGCCATTAATCTAGTCTTGCACGATGCCTTCAGAGTCCAATGCACAAGAATCTCAAACAGCAGCACCACTGCTTGTCAACAACAGCAGTGATCAAGATAATTTTCGAAGCACCTCTGTATCCCAATAGATTGTTAGAAGTGGCTTCAATATTGTGCTTCTTTTTCTTCTATTCATTCTTTTTTTGTTTAGAGTTATGAACTTACTAACAAACATTAGTGGCCAGAAAATATTTTTATCGCAAACTATACCTTCCACAGTGTAAGCACTGGTTAAAAAGACGTCCACATATAGCACAATTTGATAGGGTAAAAATTTAAACAGAACATTTTTGGCAAAATTTCTCGATGAGTATATGGCAGAAAATTGCGATAATACTGCTGAGATTCAAACAACTCCTACAAATGCCTTTGTTTAATAAGTAAATCAAATTTGTTACTGAAATAAGAATAAGGCAATTCGTCTTGCTCAGTAGAAATTTTTTCAAATTCTTCTTGCATTGTGTGCAGTATAGCTGAAATTGTGGATTTATAGTATTTTTCTCATCTTCTGAATTTTGGAATAGGTAGTTCTAATATGAATCTATGGACTTTGTTTGAAAATTGGAGTAGTATATTCGCCATTAATCATGTCGAAGCGTACTCGAACAAAAAATGAAGGAGTTTGTTGCTAAACTGAACTACAAAACAGACCCCTATAAATGTTTTTTTTTTTCAAGTTTTATGGGCACTATTACATTGAAATACACACTTTCTGAAGAAGAATATTCTAATCTCATTTTTGCGCATTGTTTACCACAGCTGCAAATGTGCTGGGCAAGAGATGCTTTTCTTTCTTTTTTTTTCTTCCTCACACTTTATGTAGTACTTTCTTGTACCACTTAAAACCTTTTCGTGAGAGAAAATTGGCAAAAGGATTGCAGCTTGTTGCTCTCAAATGGAATGGGATTAGTGCTGTCCTAATTTTTCAAAGGTCCATCATGAGTCAATGGGACATACACGTCCACTTTTCTCTTGTAAAGTAATAGTCTTATTTTGGTCAAAATTGCTTCACACTATTTCAGGCACATTCATTGGATATTCTGCAGGCATATTTTTTGTTACTATTTGAAAAATATAAATGAGCTCACAAAAGGTTATCTGGTATAATAACCTGTATCTCTTGAAACTTCCTATTGGCTGCACTGAGAGGTTTTTAGCACACTTAATTTTGGAATGAGATACTTGTTCAGTCAATATAAACTTTGCTGGACAGTTACTATAAACAAGGAGACAAATTAACTAATCATACCAATGATAGTACAGTCGAAACCCGCAATAACGAAATCGCCGAGGAAACAAAATATTTCGTTTTTTCGAGAATTTCGTAGCCGCGAGTATGAGACATAAGAACAGTGATACGGCCAGCAGAACGAAAATTTATTGCCAGAAGTCGGTCAACTTACTTTTCCGACCCTTGCCATGCAACAACTTCAAAGCTCTCCCTTCGCACTGGAAAAAGTAGTCCATTGCTACATCGTCGACATGTGCGCCGAACAAGGAGCGAAGGGTGCCCAGCGCATCCAAAACAACCCGCGGGTTGGGTTTCTCCGCATGCGTCTCTTCTTGGTCCTCGGTGTCATCAGCTTTGCACACGCTTTCGATAATGGCCTCGTCGGTCAATTCCTCGTACACGAGTACGTCGTCATTGGCGCGAACGAACGCATCAACGGTGAGTTCATCTGGGATGTCGATGGCTCGAAGTTCCCCCCAGGCGTTGGTCAGGGATAGAGGCACTGCACTGCCACCACTCTCGCCGTCAAGTGCGCCTTCGTCCAAATCTTGAGGCCGAAGCGCAATCCGTGCAAGACACTCGCACGGTGGTGATTAAGGCAGCGGGTTTGAAGCAGTTCTCAATCTGGCGGTACCCATGCTAGTGCGGCAAAAGCAGACGTTTACAAATTTTCAGTGCGCATAACACGCATACGGGCATATTTTCGACAGTTGACCTTTGGCGGGAAGGTGAAATAAGGCCCGCACCGTGGTAGAAAATTCGTTATTGCAGGATCGCTGTCCGAAAACATTTCATTGCCGCGAAATACGTAATACATGCGCTTCTATGAACGTTCGCCAGGGATCCGGAAATATTTCGTTGCCGCAGGGATTTCGTACTTGCAGGACTGTACATACATATTCACATAAGAAATAACTCAAGACTACATTAAAAGAAAATTGCTTCACAGCATACTTACTAGTATGTCTTTTTTACAATACATTACACAGAAAAACTGGTCATCTCTATACTGCACCGACGTAGGTACAATGAGCTCACAGAGAAGTCACATATAACAGTTTTAGGCAATATTATGACTAAAAAAAAAAGCTTAGTCGCTTAGTTTATAGTAAACATTATATTTGGCTCCCAATATCAGTTTTAGGGAGCCATGAAATGCACAACATCAGTGTTTTTTACAATGGCACGAAATGTGTATCTTTTATGTGTGCTTGGCACAGTATCACCAGGATTCCAGCATTAACTGGATGTCATTTTTTTAAAGAGCCAAAACTCCGTGGAGACATGCACAAGTTGAAAGAAGTCAAATGTTTTGCACTTTAGTGCAGAGCGCACTCAAGAGTGTGATTGAAAGCTGGAGCTTGTCGCTTGATGTCATCTGCACACCTTGGTCGAAACTCAGTGCCAATGCTTCATCCAAGAATGCCTGCCTGTTTTCCATCGGGATGCGTGCTACGAATGGGATGGCCCAGCCCAGAAACTCTGCACATAGCAGAAATTGCAGCTTTTCTCTCTTTCAGGCTGCTCAGCAAACTTGGCACTGCTCATTTTTAAAATTACTTATTTGTCTAGCATAAAATACAAGTGGTAGCTATTTAGCACCACTATGCCAAAAATACCTTCATTAAAAAGCTACTCCAATGATCTTGGCAAGTATCGATAGCTTTTCGAAGCAGATGTAAAAAAGTTAAGGAAAATGCTAGAACACAAGATAAAGATCACAATAGTTTCTTCAAAGTGACTGAAAAAAGGAAAAAAAGAATGTACTGCGTTTAAAGGTGAACCAGCCATCAATTGTTCATGATGTTCAATAACACTTTATTCAGAAATATTGGCCCTTCTTTAGAACCAAATCTGTTGCATAGCTTTCATTTCATCGCTTGTTGAAGGACACCAGGACATCCATGAACAAAGCTTTGCTTGGAAATGAGTTTTCTATTTGTTAAGTCAACATGTTTGGTAGTTCTTAGTTTCTTTGTTAAGTGTTTAAAATCTTTTAACACCCTGGTTCACCAATGAGGGTTATACTTTTTCATGTACATAAAGGGGGATTGTGAAGCCACTACTGTCAGTAAAGCCTCTTTTCATATCTGCATGGCAAGTCCAGATAAAACACTGTAAGTTTGCATGTCCAGCGTGGCACTGCAAACTTGAGTGTACACCTTCTTATAATATACATTATGTCAAATTTTTTTGCAAACATTCAAGGGGCATTCATAAAGTTTTATTATCTATATCATAAGTTTATAAACGGCATACACAGTGGGTATCAAAATGTATGTGCATCTGTCTAGCTTTAGCGTAATATAAAGCTTTTGTTCTTTATAATACCATGCGACACCACTGTGATATCAAAACAAAAATGGCAGCATCCATCGTGAATGTCCGGGCCACACAGGACAGGAGATAGTGATGCATGCAGCCTCCTAAGGCTAAAAAAATTTTTGCCTCACCAGCCATATCCACATCATCTTGAGCTAAGTGACTTATTTTTTTATTTTTTTTTCATAAAGAATACGCTTTGTGGGGACGTTTTCAGAACCATGAAGAAGTCATCGCTTCTCCGAGTTTTTAGACGTACAGGCAGGTTCCACCCAGAACTGGCACATGATGTGTCGAATTCGGTGTAATCAGCACCAAGCACCTTAACAACGAAGCTTATGTCAACCTATTCGGAAGTCTGAAGACGAAAAGTTCCACTTGAATGGTCTGCACTAGCACATGCATCATAGGCAGAAGTTTTGGGTGAAGATTATACACAGAAATAATAAATTTTCACTGAAATGTCATTTATTTGTTGCTCTTGTTTCATGCTAAGACAATGAGTGCTATGAATGAATTTTGTACTAGTCGAATTAGCTAGATGTTTTATTCTGTAATTCATCATGCACTAGACTGAAGGTCATACACATTAAAAAGAAAGAAATTCTTGGGTAACTGAGTATATGGCATGGTTATTTTGGATAATCACCTGGCTCCATGGCTGTGAAGTGAAAAACAGTAAAATTAATAGTTTAAAAAATTAACAAAATGGGCTAATTATTTGAAACATCACTTTGTTTAGAGTGCTAGTTACTTGAAATTGTTTCAAAGTGTATGGCTTTGTTCTTTTCTCTAGATTCTGTGCATACAAATTAAGACAATTAACAAAAGCTGGAATCTATCTTCAAGCTATTGCTCCATGCCAATTTCGAGCATGTAAGATTATATATTTTCAAAAGCTGCTTATAGATTTAGCATAACAGTACATCAGTCCACATTAATGACACTTTAAAATTGAGTGTTGCAACTATGTCACTTTGTTCTCTTCCATATACTATATGAAAACAAGCCCAATTAATCATAATATTTATTTCAGGCAACACTTTCTTTGCTGTCTTATATCCTGAGTACTTTCAACACATTGGCTGAGCATCTCTATTCTCGTGAGCATTGAGTCATGCAACTAGTTTTTAAAAATATTCTTGATTCTTGTTACGTGGTAGGCCCTGTATATATATCTCAGTATAGCCCTTTTACCCGCAAGCCCATGATCTGTTATCTTGTTTCTATCGACAACGTGAACCTTTCGTATATGAGATGTCACCGATTCCTGGGCGTCATTATCAACAGAGATCTCTCGTGGAGTGCTCACATCTCGCACTTGAAGAAGAGGCTCAGCTCTATCACACACGTGATGAGATTTCTCGCTGGTAAAACGTGGGGCACATCAGTGTCATCTTTGCTTCAGCTGTACAGAGCGCTCTTTTTGGGATATTTGCGGTATAGCACGCCCGTGCTTTCCAACGCCGGAAAAACTAACATCAGGGTCCTGCAAAGCATTCAAGGCCAAGTCCTCCACACATGCTTGGGGCTACCTCGGTGCGCTAATACGTTGGTAACAATTGGTATTGCTAAAGACCATCCGATCACGACATATATAACTGTCGACACACTCCGGACACATATCCGTCACATATCCAGAGTGCCTAACCACCACCTCTCTAGCTTGCCACTAAAAAGACCAAAGGCAGCGTTTTCCAAAGTTGTTGCGGCTAACCAGAATTCCATCTCGTGGAGATTCTCGCCCGCAACCATACCACTATATCCAGAGTGGTGCATAAAAAGACCGACTGTGCACCTTGAAGTGCCGGGGATATCTAAAAAGGCAAGCCTGTCATCTGCAGCCCTCAAGCAGATCTCACTGGACCTTTTGCATTTGTCGTATGCTAACCGAATTCGTGTTTACACGGACGGTTCGGTCTCGGGAAGTTCGACAGGTGCCTATGTCTATCCATCTCGATCAATCACCGTCAAATTCAAGACATCACACGCCACGACATATACGGGATCCGAGCTCGCCGCTCTTCGAGCCGCTGTGGAGTTTGTTACGCAAGAATCCCCTAGTAGATGGGCCATTTTCTGCGACTCCAAGGCAGCTCTTCAATGCGTGCGAAGTCTACGACGTGAAAACTACCACCAGATGGTGTATCGTATTAATGAAATTTGTCATTGCGCTGCTGATCAAGGACACAACATTCTTTTACAATGGTTGCCGGGCCACTGTGGCATCAGTGGTAACCACCTCGCCGACAACGCTGCCTGATGTGCCCACGATGGAGCGCCCACACTGTTAATACTCTTGTCAAGAGTAGACGCAGCTAGAGAACTTCGTCACATCGCGCATAATGCTACGCTTGCGCACTGGAATTCTCCATTTAACTCCAATCATCGCCCTAAGAATCTTAAGTCATTACTCCAGAAACAACTGCCATCCAAGATCTCTCGACGTGACGCTACAATGCTGTGCCGGCTGTGGACTGGGGTAGCGTTTACTAAGTCATTCAGCCATCGCATTGGCATGGCGGATTCATCCATGTGTGAAAGCTGCAACTGTATAGAGACTATTGAACATCTCTTGTGCCACTGTACCCATTTGATGAAGATCGCCGGACTCTCCAGTGTGCCTTGAATAGACTCGATGACCGGCCATTTAATGAAGCAAAGATCTTAGGAGCCTGGTCGCGCAGCACATCAGCACAGAAAGCTACACGAGCCCTCCTGAGATACTTGTCAGCAACTTCATTGAGGGACCGCCTGTGAAACTCGGCATTGTGTGTGTGATGTGACATGTGTCTATCTTTCTCTCTCTCTTTTACTCCTCTCTCCCCCTCTTCATGTGTAGGGTAGCAAACTGGACCCACAGTCTAGTTAACCTCCCTACCTTTCCTACATTCCTTCTCTCTCTCTCTCTCTCTCTCTCTCTCTCTCTCTCTCTCTCTCTCCCTCTCTCAGTATAACACCCAACTTTTTTTTTTTCAAGAAGGATATGCATATATTGACGTTTTGTTTTCTACCCGAATTTCGCAGCCAAATAATACTTTTTGGCCTGCATCACTCAATAAAACACTTGCCCTAGAGAAAAAAAATGAGAAAGCACAGTTGCATAAATACAGAAACAAGCTACTGTGCAGACATCCTATCAGACAGCCTATAAGTACAGACAAAGGAAGCAAACATTTGCATTAAGTGTTTTATTGAATAACACAGACCAGAGATTACGACCTTGCTGTGAAAGTGCTTAAAGACAAAGCAATGTAAGAGCTATAAAATTGTTTAGAATACAGACACATGCCACTGCAGCATTCCCCAGTCTTCCATTTTTTCAGAAAATATTCACAGAACATCATAAAAAAAAAGCTTGTATGACCTCAAACATATAAAAATACCTACCTTGAAATTGCTTACTGCTGTCAAAAGTAGCCTCTGTGGTGTCAAGTTTAACGGTATTCACTTCCATGCCAGCTTCTTTTGCTGCTTTTTTAAACGTCTCCACAGGTTCCTGCCAGTGGCTCTGAGGTGGTACCAGCCGCATTGCATCCTTGTGAAGTTAGGAGAAAAAGCTCATGACGGCTACAAGTTTGCAATAATATATATATATATACTATCCTGCACAGAATAGTTTTAGCGGTCCAAAAACCATCAAGGCAGAAACTTGATTGATTGATTGAATGTGGGGTTTAACATCTCAAAACCACCATATGATTATGAGAGACGCCGTAATGGAGGGCTCCGGAAATTTTGACCACCTGGGGTTTTTTAACATGCACACAAATCTGAGCACACGGGCCTACAACATTTACGCCTCTGTTGGAAATGAAGGCAGAAACTTATCAATTTATTTACTCCTTAAGAATAAATTATCTACACTACCGCAAGAAATGTACCTGAAAACATGTTTGTTCTAAAATTTTCTGTAGCAGCCTTGAAAAAGCCTAGTCCACTTGTTGATATGACGTCTTCCACAATCATTGATATGTCGTTTTCCGTTCAAGAATTTTCATCCCTTCAAGCTTCCACCTTCCCCTGAACTTCGCCCTCTTTTGCATGAAATACAGCAGTGGCATAGCCAAAAGAGGTTCAACTCACCCTCATCCCCCTCACCACCCACTGTCACATAGTTTCTTCCTTGTGTGTCTTGTCTCGAGCACTGCCTCGCATGTAAGATGAACTCTCACCAATTCACCCGACTTTTAACTTTAATGTGCAGAGACAATTAAATCGGCTCAGTATTTGCTCAGAATCCTCCCGCTATGTCCATAACCGCCTCCCAGCAAAAACCCAAGTTCCGTTCCTGATGAATAATTGGTGGGCCACCCATCAGGTGTGGACCTGCACAGCCCCAAGCAATGACACCACAGCTAGTGCCTGATGCATCCACAAAGTTCATGGAGCTGTTTTCATTACACGCACTCATTCATTAGATGATACCAACACCAGATCAAGGATGATTCCACACAAAGATTTAAAATGGCTTTGGCAACATGCAGGCCCTATTTGGTATTTTCGCAAGCATATACAGTAAAACCTCGTTAATGCGAAGTCACTGGGGCCGTGAGAAAGCTTCGAATTAAGCGGGTTTTCGAATTAACAGAACATTCAAGAAGTGGGATGCAAGGAACTTAGAACTATTCAAAGTAATCGGTGTTCGTCGTTCAGCTCCAAAGGTTATGTTTTCCAGCAATAACTGGTCTTCATTTTGCTGCGAACATAGACGAACGGTGCGCCTCGCTGCTGCCAGCGAGAAAAAAAAAATAAAGAAAGCGGTCGTGATCGACTGAAACGTGCGCCTGCAGAAAACAAGACATCTTCACTGCAACACAGTAGCGACACGCGGGCAGCATATCGCTTGCTCCACGTTGCGTCAGCGCGTCATGATGCGACCATTCGCACATTCTTTCTATTATAATTATGAATTTATTAATCACCAGTATGACGAAGCGCACGATGTGTTTTGCCTGAAAAAAAAAATAGCTTTGATACTTTCAAACTTAGTTTTCGAAGTAGGTGTTGCCGGCAAGAACTCCGCCAGCAGTGCAAAGACGCGAATTGCTGGAGCAACCGGCAATCGGGGGTTCGCATACATCGCCGTTTTCGCTAAACTGTCATTTATTAATTTCGTTACAATCCCAGAAATAATGGGTAAACCATGACCCGCTGACGTTGCGAGAAACATGCAATAAACTGCCCGCGTGTCACCACTGTGTTGCAGTGAAGCACAGCCCGTTTTCCGCAGGCGCACTTTTTGATTGACCACGAGACTGTTTTTTTCTTCTTTACTTTTATTGCGCTGAAATTAGCGAGTCTGGAGTGCTTTAGCTGCCACTCATTAGTATCGATAGCCTTGTGGTTATTAATAGCCGTGGTTCCGCAGATTCGCGGCGAAATCGGGATCTGGAACTGGCACATGGCACCCAAAGTTTTCGAATTAACCAGACTGGTGCCGGCCACCGCTTCAAATTATCCACCCAAACTTACATTGCAAAAATCTGGACCGCGGGACTCCTTCGAATTATGCGAAATTTTGAAATAACCGAGTGCAAATTAAGGACGTTTTACTGTAGAAGCGTTTCCTCGGAAAGGGACCAAGAGTTCAAAAAAGATGCAGTTCCTTGGACAATGCTCCACATAATCGTCCACTAATGGACAACTGAGTGCCAGCATTCTTTAATTGAGTTTATTTGAGAACATGGTGTACTGTACCAGAAGTATAGCACATGCAACAGTTGTGACTATCCACACATGCGATTCTGTGCAGATATTACTGTGCACTAGTAAATAGCAACAGCCGAGCTTCAGTCAACATAACAGTACTTCATGGCCTGGTCAGATCAAATGGACAGCTGAAAACTTAAGCATGCATCGATTGATATGTGGGGTTCAATGTTCCAAAACCACCATATGATTATGAGAGATGCCGTAGTGGAGGACTCCGGAAATTTCGACTACCTGGGGTTCTTTAACGTGCACCCAAATCTGAGCACATAGACCTACAGCATTTTCGCCTTCATCGAAAATGCAGCCGCCACAGCCGGGATTCGATCCGGCGACCTACGGGTCAGCCGCTGAGTATCTTAGCCACTAGACCACTGCGGCATGGCACTTAAGCATACATCTTAGTAATGTATGCTGGCAGTACAGCAAATCATTGGGTCAGCCCAGTGTCCTTTTATGGCTGTCCTGATAGAATGTGAAAGAAGGCTGGTAACAGGTAGTGAAAATATTAGTTTTATGCAGATGCCACAGGTGTGTGCCAGTTTTACCTCTGCATTATCTATTCGATTCTCTGCTATCAAACAATAATTTCAAATCCACTATGCAGTGATTATTAGTGTCCACTTCGTGAGACAATTCACTCAATACATAATGAAAATCTGCAGATGTGTGGGCAGAACAGAGTTAATGTTGCTGGGAACTTTTCAACTTGACTATGAATGAAAATAACTGTGAGTTGACGTGTTGAAAGTTATGTGCATAAGCACATTTGCTTGTAGTGAGAGTTCATGCATTTGCACTGATGCTTTTAGAGTCCTAGTCAGTATCACAATAGCAGTGAAGTAAAAGAACAACAACATTCACCGGTAAGTGCTTGAACACATGTTTGACTAAACATACTCGCATGTAGGCCTTCCAGCGGGGACTGCTTGAGAGCTGTTCGAGTACATCAAAGAGACAACAGCGCACAGGCAGGAGCAGAACACAGCTGCCTTTAATGTCTAGCAGTATTGATGCTTGGCTTAGTCCATTGCCTTCGGTGCACGGCAAAGCACCACCATAGTGGAAGAGCTTGTTGAATGCCCCTCGCATCTCTACAGGTACACTGCACAATAAGAGAAGACATTTTAGGACTGCAGCTGACAATGACTAAACACAGCTAAAATGAACAAGTAAGGGAAGGCCTCATGAGTGCTACATCTTTCTTTTTATATGCTATACTTTGCAGGTTACTGCACTTTTGAGTCAACTATCATTACTATACAAGCAATAAATTTTATTCACACAACAATTGCGTGCATCACACCTTTTATATACGACAAATCCTCACCAAGTCTGACAAAAAAGAAGGCATAATTAAATGTATTATTTTGATTTATAAAACATTTATTGTCATCACAATATTTCATGTTTGCCTACTTGACTGAATCGTGCATCACACCTTTTATATACGACAAATCCTCACCAAGTCTGACAAAAAAGAAGGCATAATTAAATGTGTTATTTTGATTTATAAAACATTTATTGTCATCACAATATTTCATGTTTGCCTACTTGACTGAATCCTCAATCTAAACACCACACTTTTTGAGGTCCTCAAGAATTTTGTAACTGGCTGCTAATTACAATATGCACAAACTTTAAAGCTACAATGTGAGAATCACGGGTAAAAATACTTTCACTTTGTGTCATGAAAATTACAATCATACATAACAAGTGCTAGCTATGTTGGGAATAAAGGTCTAGCTATATTGTGAATCAGAGCCACTAAGCTAACTCGGATGCTTTCTGCTAATCAAATGCTGATGTATACTTGGCTAGCACTATTCACAAATCCGCAATCAATGATGCACATGTTCCTAGAATACTGACACCTTTTTTTTGTTATTCATCAGTACTAAATGATGCTCTGGGACAAAAAATCAAACAAAAAGTACTGTCAAATCTAAGAGAACCCTAAAAAGTTTAATACAGCAACATTGCTGAAACCACTTTTGCTGCGGCTCTGAATTTATGTTGTACTGCAATCTCATGACCAGAAGGTGATTAAATGGTAGCAGCACACTGCAGCGTTTTGACCCTTGCTTTGGCTTGCTTGGTCCCAATATCAGTTGCATTAACGAATAACAGCATAAGATGCCACATCTTAAGTTTATCAAGAGAATAGAGAATTCAATCATGCAAAATTTATAAACACAATTATACTGTGCTCACTTTCTAAATTATTGTGTAGGCACAAAAACTACACAAAGAAAATGCAAGTGCCCTAATCGTGATAAAACACATTCTGACTGGTTGCACATTGAAAATTCCAAGCAGTTGTTTTCTATATGTAGGCCGTATTGAGCATTTTTTCAAAAATCTAGAAGACTGTCAAAAAACAAGCAACAGCCTTCCATGCATCAAAACATGTAATAAATTGCTGCTTGTTCATTTCTGTTTGATTCATGAAAAAAAGTTAAAGGGACCCTAAAGCTTCGCCTTTAGGAGTTGAACACGATAGTGACATCCTGTTCCTAGTGCGCACTTCAAACACTTAGTGCATGAAACCGTTTCGAATTTGCTATGCACCCACTACGTGGCCTCAAGAGAATAGGCGCAGTAGCGTGTGTGCCTTTTCTAATGGGGTACCGACTTTCAAGCACGGAGCCTTTAAAATCATCACATATTCTGACGCTATTTGCAATGGACGCTTGTACCATGCATTATTATAGCAATATTTCATGTTGCAATGTTGAGTTGAGTTGTTGGTTTGAATGAACTTTATTTGTCAAACAGTTGTTGCTCTGCCCGGGGCTAAGCTGTCAGGGACACATCGTTCGAGGAACATCTTCCGCGGACTTCAGCGATGGTCCTGGCCCACTGGACGGCCCACACCTGGTCTTCAAGGGCCTTGCTGAGAAGGGCGGCTTGCCATCGCTTAGCAAGACACCCCATGTTGCAATGTGAAGCATGTATACACGACGCATGTGTTTTTGAAGCATGAAAGCTACTTTCACTGCATTTTCAAGCACAGGAAGTTCTTTTCACTGTTTTCACAAGCAAAGGTGTGGCCGAGTGGTGGAACATCTGCTTTCCACACAAAACACCCGGGTCTGATCCCCGCTTGGATCCGAACAACCCTTGTTCAGTCTTCAGTATGCTCCAGCATTTTTTATCATTTATTTATTTTATTTCCATCATTCCCGGTTTTTCGATCATGCATAAGATGATGATTTTTCACCCACAACCAACAATGCTGACACCGGAATTCCTACGAAATGAGCTCTTTGATGCTATCGCGTTAAAGGACGTAGTTGCTATGTGAGTGCTCAGCTCAGTTGCAAATTAAATGCATATACATGGCCAGTAGGTAACACCCATGCTTCAGTCATGTACCCTGAAGAACCTAATATGAAAACTATTATACAGGCAGTTTCAGCTTCCTTTCCAAGGTTGTATGGTATTGTGGCGTCATGACTCGGAATGTGATCACATGAGAGGGCTGCTACTGCTGCTTGTTCTTCATAAACGAAACTGGTAGTAGAAAAGCTGTTATGTAAAAGTCTTATGTTTATTAGACATTAGCATCAGGGTCGACCGGTAGCTTGATAAACAGCTCAATTAACAAACTCCGAGCACAAGTGGCATCCACGAGCAATACATGATTGACAGACTCACTCGATGTTACTGGAGGGTGTGCCCCGACCACTATGGCATTCCTCTTTACTACAGTCATAAGAAATTATTGAGAGTGCTCCGAGGCATGACAGCAATTTTCTACAGTTCTCACGTCCTGAATAATCATTTAAAGCAAGAGAAAAAAAGCATGAAATATCTTTAAGGTATTTGTTTAAATCTGGCACCTTTATGAAATAGTTTGTATTACTCAAATGAGGCAATACAAACTCTATTAACACAATATCAGGACTGTATTATTTGCCCAAATAAGCATGGTTTTTAATTATAATGGTCATGCAGGTACAATTAGCAAAACAGAATATTTTTTTATAACCTTTACCCTAAAATGTCATCAGGTTAAAGGTAAGCATTAACCAATGCAGGGCTGCTTTATAGAGCTCTGCTAAAAGATGTTTAGTCTGAAATTGCTTGTATCCACATATTTGGACAATGGCAAGGAACGTGCCACGGAGTGTGCATTACGGAGTGTGCAGTGGAAGTTGGAGGCAGGGTAGTTAGACAGGACACTGGCAAGCTTTCCCAGGAAACGAAGAATCTCATTAAGAAGCGTCAAATCATGAAAGTCTCAAGTACAACAGACGAAATAGAACTGGCAGAGCTTTCGAAGTTGATTAATAGGCGTAAAGTATGCGATGTAAGAAGGTATAACAGGGAGAGAATTGAACACGCTCTGAAAAACGGAGGAAGCGTCAAAGCAGTGGAGAGGAAACTTGGGATAGGCAAAAATCGGATGTATGCACTAAGGGACAAAGAAGGCAAAATAACTACCAATATGGATAGGATAGTTAAGATAGCGGAGGAGTTTTACAGAGATCTGTACAGTAGCCGGGACAACCACGACTTTAATACTATAAGAACTAGCAGTAACCCAGATGACAACCCACCAGTAATGATAGAAGAAGTCAGAAAAGCCTTGGAGAGCATGCAAAGAGGCAAAGCTGCTGGTGAGGATCAGGTAACATCAGATCTGCTGAAAGATGGAGGACAGATTGTGTTAGAAAAACTAGCCACCCTTTTTACGAGGTGTCTCCTGACGGGAAGAGTACCAGAGCCTTGGAAGAACGCTAACATCATCTTAATACATAAGAAAGGAGATGACAAAGACTTGAAGAATTACAGGCCGATTAGCTTGCTCTCTATAGTATACAAGCTATTTACAAAGGTAATTGCTGACAGAGTAAAGAAAACATTAGAATTCAATCAACCAAAGGAACAAGCAGGATTTCGAACAGGCTACTCAACAATCGACCACATTCATACTATCAATCAGGTAATAGAGAAATGCTCAGAATATAACCAACCACTATACATAGCCTTCATAGATTACGAGAAGGCGCTTGATTCAGTAGAAATATCAGCCGTCATGCAGACACTGCGGAATCAGGGCGTCGATGAAGTATATATAAACATCCTGGAAGAAATCTACAGGGGATCAACTGCTACTATAGTGCTTCATAAAGAAAGCAACAGAATACCAATCAAGAAGGGTGTAAGGCAGGGGGACACAATCTCCCCAATGCTATTTACCGCGTGCTTACAGGAGGTTTTCAGAAGCCTAGAATGAGAACAGTTAGGGGTAAGAGTTAATGGAGAGTACCTTAGTAACCTGCGCTTCGCCGATGACATTGCATTGCTGAGTAACTCAGGGGACGAATTGCAACTCATGATTACGGAGTTGGACAAGGAGAGCAGAAAGGTGTGTCTTAAAGTGAATCTGCAGAAAACGAAAGTAATGTACAACAACCTCGGAAAAGAGAAGCGCTTCAAGATAGGTAATAGTGCACTTCAAGTTGTAAAAGACTATGTCTACTTAGGGCATGTAATAACCACGGAGCCGAACCACGAAATAGAAGTAACTAGAAGAATAAGAATGGTGTGGAGCACATTTCGCAAGCACTCTCAAATTATGACAGGTAGATTGCCACTATCCTTCAAGAGGAAGGTATATAGCAGCTGTATCTTGCCGGTACTTAGCTACGGAGCAGAAACCTAGAGACTCACAAAGAGCGTTCACCTTAAATTGAGGACGACGCAACGAGCAATGGAAAGAAAAATGGTAAGTGTAACCTTAAAAGACAAAGGAGAGCAGAGTGGGTTAGGGAATAAACGGAACTAAGGATATCATAGCTTGAATCAAGAAGAAGAAATGGACATGGGCCGGGCATGTAGTGCGTAGACAGGATAACCGCTGGTCGTTAAGGGTAACTAACTGGATTCCCAGAGAAGGCAAGCGGGTTAGAGGGAGACAGAAGGTTACAGGTGGGCAGATGAGATTAAGAAGTTTGCAGGTATAAATTGGCAGCAGCAAGCACAGGACCGGGTTAACTGGCAGAACACGGAAGAGGCCTTTGTTCTGCAGTGGACGTAATCAGGCTGATGATGATGAAGGAATGTGCCTGGAATTCCCCCTTTTTATGAGTAGATAACACGCTGCTGAACCACTGCTGATCCTCCAAAGATACTGGCCAACTTTGTGCATCATCCTTTTACTCAGGCTTAGGACATGCCCCTTTTCAAAACCGAACAGAATCATCCTTTTTGTGTCACACCTTTCAATGTTTGACATAAGATTTATGTCGAACCATCAAAGGCCAAACATAGCTTGAAAAACCACAATGTAACATTCAGACTGCATAACTTCTGAACTCTAAAGCATTCATATTCTAAACAGACCTCTCACCAATCACAACAATGCTTTCTTGCTACTAAAAAATGTGCACAACACTATTATTTCATTATTAGGACCCGAGTGTTCCACACTACTACACTAAAAAATTTTAAAAACTGCAGAAAATCTTCAAATTCTTTTACCTTATGTGTAGATCAGGAACATGGCAGTATGAGATGTCTCTGTGGTGAGAATGCTGCTGAGCATACAGAATGGCCTCTGAAGCTCTGTCAACTGCGAGAAGGCGGGCAAAATGGGCCTCGCACAAGGGCTGTAATACTTGCCGGCTTATCAGGCCAGGACCACAACCAAGTTCCAGTACTTGCTCCTGAGGGACAAAAAATCTTGACTTTTTCATATGATAATGACAATTAAGGACCAAGACAGGCCTAGTTTTGGGTATAATAGCAAACAATGAATTTGGTGCCTAAAAGAAACATTTTTAGGCGATGGTAGCATTACATTTCTTTTCATTTCATCATTTCAGTACATTGAGTTGGTTTTAAAGGTATTAAAGCTGTATTATATCAATTTTATCTATTTTAGATATCTGGACAGATGCAGTTTACATATTTCAGATATTGTTCATCATTGCTCAGCTTCAGCTGTAAACTTGATAGTTATTTCCTTTCTTTGTATTTCAATTTTCAATAATTTTTATTAAACAAACAGTGCTCTATAAAGTCTGCTTCCAACAGGTAATACATTTTACTAGCTGTTTCATAAAAAAAAAACCTCTTTGTTTCCAACTTATCCTGAGAGTATCACAGTGGGTTAAACTTCCTCCTAACAGATGGGAAGGGCAAGAAAACTTGAAATTGCCATCTAATATATCTGAAAATCCGACTTTTCCATGTCTGCCATTATGGCGCAACCGTTACAGTGGTTGGCTGCTGATCTGAAGGTCGCAAGTTCAATTCCGACCATAGCAGTCGCATTTCATTGAAGTCAAAATGCTAGAGCCACGAGTACTGTACAGTGTCAGTGCATGTTTATAACAGCAGATGGTCAAAATCTCCTGAACCCTCCACTACGATTATTATTATTGCTCGCCTTGTCATCTTGGTGTATTTCAAACCCAAATACACACATAAAAAAGCAGATCCTACAATGACAAATTTGTATGAGCAAAGTATCTACAAGGACACTACAACATTATTGTTTGTTGACACTGGTTAATGACCTATTCTATAACGATACTTCAGCTAGGCCATGTGGCATCTACCAGCCTCTCACCTAAGCTGTGCATGTTTCCATAAGCAGGCTTTCCAACAAATACAACCCGCCTCAACCAAGGCAGCCACAATCTGTTTTAGCAATGTTAAAGTTGAGACATGCGTTGGGAAAACTTTGAACCACGCAGGGAACTGAGAGCAGCACAAATATTATCAGCTTGCATGTTTGACACCTTCAATATGATTCCAGCATAAGGACCTTCATCTTGGTTCAGTCAAACTAGAGCTGTGACAAAGCAGCCTTTTATGAGATTAGTTGTCTGTTTCAATGTAATCAGACGACTATTTATGAGCTTCAGTATTCTACACCGTGCGAGCAGGCTTCTTAAAACTAACCTGAAAAACCTCATTACTAACCTGAGAAATCCATGCCATCCTAGAAGCATAATTGGTGTACTCTTGTCGGATGTACTTTAAAGGCAGTGGAAATGAAGCTGCCTTGTCCATTCTTGCACACAATGTAGCTTCTGAAACCAGTAGAGATCTACTAATTCTAAAGAATCAGTGTAAGCTCCTATAACCAAGATACACTACGTCTTATATTAAATAAAAGGATAAAAATAATTTACTATGTCCTTGGCTGCCTAGAAACTGCATGCTTTTAAAAGCTAACATCAAAACTGATGCTAAATATTTTAACCAGGAACTACTAATATGCTGGATTACTTCCTGAAAGAAATGTCAAAGTAAACTGCTAAAGTTTAATACTGACCATATACACTCAAACTTCATTATAATGAAATTGCATCTTACACAAAAATTAATTTGTTATAACCAAACATTTGTTATAAATGTATATTCCTAACACTATATTTATTGAAAGACTATTCATTTACTTCAATATAACTAATATTTTTTATATATGGGTTCTATATATCGAGGTTTGAGTGTAGCTCTGTTAACTGTACATTAAAATCTCAGAGTGTGAACTTTTACATTCCACCTGTGTTGTAACTTATATCTTATGGTACATTAAAATAATGACATTTTTCCACATAGCTGAAGGCTGTGAGGTTTCTTTTTCACCAACATAAAAAATGTAAGCTGAACTACTGTGCATTTTACTCCTAAAAATGAAATCATTACTTGTGAATTTCTTTATAAACTGAATGAATTTTGAGTAACAGTAGAAACATGAACATGGATGCATTGTATGAACTAATAGACATTGCATGCATGAATTCATAACATTCAGCAAACATTTTGCTTCTGTGAATTGGAAATATCCTAAATACAAAGTTTAACAAATCATCAATACCAGAATGGCAATCATAACGATGTAGCACATGCTATATATTACACAGATAATTTAACGATGAATGGTCATATTTATGATGTCACCATCTGCCACATCTAGAAATTTGTTAATAGTAAAAATATGCACATTAATTACGTGCACATTGACATTACATGCACATTAACAAAGAAATACTTGCCATCTTTTAACAAATTAATACACAGCAGGATTTTAAATGATAGCTATCTCTAATTAGAAATAAGAAGTTTGAGACCTGGTAATTATTCCATTTAGCCAAAAAAATTATAGCACTAATTACCTTCAAGTAACCTAACAAACTTTCAGTTCAGCTTCTTTCAGTTAGCTTTCAATAATTTCAATTTTAGTTAACTTTCAATGTTTATTTTCTGTTTAGGTGAATTCCATCAATATTATATTCACATTTTGCAAATACTGAATATAAAAGAATTTTTGCACTATCTCTCTTTAATCTTACAAAGAAATGCACTGCTGTTTCATTTACCACATCTAGGTGCCTTTTTTGAACACTGTGGGAGGACACTCCAGTTTTCTAGGTTTTTTTTTTTTTTTTACGTTGCCTCTATTTATATTATGCACAATCCACACCATTCTCTTTCACAGACATTAGCGTAGCAAGTGCTTCATACAGATTTTTTTTATTTAGCATGCTTATTTGCATCTCCGTTATTATTTGTAAACATACTGTTTCCATCTCTTACTTTTGTATGGCTGTTCCAGGCAATGAGATTCATAAATTGAATGCACCAACCTTATAATCAGCAATATAGTGCCCTAGTACAGAATCTCATGCACACATAATGTACAATTTGTTCTTATCAAGCAGTTTTTTGTTTAGCAATGCTAGCATGTATAGAATGCTAAATTATCAAAATGAATAGCTTTCGACATCTACACAGTAAAATTTTGTTACAATACTTTCACATGGTCAATTATTTTGAATATAAGCATTATACAAGTTATTTTGTGTACAAACCATAGTTATTCTGCATGCAAGCATTAGTACTCATAATTTTTTATAGTGGCAAAAAAATTATTTACTAAGAAACCAACCCAAATGAATTAAGCAAAGCTGTGAACGGTCACCCATGAGGCATTAATACAGATGGAATCCCGAAGTTGTTATCAAAGGCCTTGTTATGTTATGCTACACATATGTGCCGAAGTGTGAAATAAACAAGGATTATGCGTAGAACACAGGAAGACGCTGTCTCGTGTCTCCACCAGCACTCTTCTTTTTCCACTGGTTTGTAGGGATGGAAATTTACCAAGTTATTTCCAACCGCGAATGAACATGGTACACTATGAGCTCTAGTGTATACATATACTTGCTAAAGCAGCTCGTACAGATTCTATTTTAAAAAAATGATTTTATCGAGACAACTTACAACATCCCTGTAAGAAGATTACTAGAGTGATTTAAGCCATTTATTCTTACAGGATGTAGCATTAACAGCAACAGTATTAAAAAGAACAGAACTTGCAAGCAGTCACATCCAACATACTGCATTGCAATAGATCAGAATAAATGTTCTAAGCACTTCAAGGTTTGATTAGTGCAGAAAATATTTTTACAACTGTTTCAGTTACACGGCAATACTATTAAAATTTAAAAAATTGCCCGGTATACATACACTAAGCTGCTGAAGAATATATTTAATAATTGAATGTCATAAAAGACAGATGACCAGTGCTGATCATATTTGTGTGTGTTTTCTTGTGTCTTGACTTTCGTGAACTTTGCGAGATATCACGCCAACTTGCCCAAATCAATGCATTCCCAAGCTGGAGAACATGCTCTTGGCTCAATTTGCCCAGGAGACAAAATTATACAGAGATGCTGCCACATTATGCAGAGATGATGCAAGTGTAGGCACATATCTGGTACTACCTACTCTAAATTAGAATTCTTCAATAACTTTAAAAATGGCTTTTAAACTAGTAAAAATGTCCTAGTATGTCAGTGCGTGGCTACACTCATTGGTTATTTAAAATTACTAATTTCTGTAGGGTGCCTTGTTGAATTCATTTTTCAAGTCAGAAAGAACCTTTACTATAACTGTTTGGCTTGTGAAATCAGAGAAAATGGCATGTATTGTTCACAGAAAATACGAGTCTTTTTTTGATGAAGTTTTCATTACATGCACAGCAGAGGTTCAAGGCATATGCATCTTTACATTTTTAGAGCAACAATAAAATGTATAAGCACTTGAAATATGTTTAGCATTGCTAATGATTATTGTTCATTTCTAACACTTGTACTGGCGTTTACATACATAAGAAACACTTGCGCTCAAGCAGTAGCTATGAAATGAAATGTTCTTTTTTTTTCCCAAAATGTAAACCTACTGATTATAGCATTTTTGTCGTTTCGTAGCCGTACGCAAGTTCAAGTACGCATGCAGAAACGCTTTCACACGATTATTTAAATTTTGTAACCACACATTTACATTCCTTCCAGTGAAATAAAAGTAAGAAATAAAGATGTACAAAGGAAGTTATTTGGCCCAGCACTTGTAGAAACAGCGCGTTATTCATTGGCCGAGCATAAGACCAGGCTCTCCCACGTGCGTCTTCGGGAGCGAGCGCCATAAGTGCCGACGGTTAACCAACTAATTTTGTGACGAACAGAATGCATGCCACACGGCTAATTACAGCCATGCTGCGATCTCTTAACACGCGTGTAATGCTGACTTCTAACATATCGGACAGCACTTATTGGCAACCACGCGCCGTCAGCTTTAAGAGTTGAAAGTTTGAAGGTCGAAGAACTCTTGGAACCAACCGACGGGCTCTATTTCAAGCTTATCCAGTGAAGATCTTGCAAAATATATAACGTACCTTCCGAGCTATGTCAAAGCACCTGGCCTTTTTTTTTTTTTTCTATCCACCCTGGAAAACGTAGAAACAGCTGCGTCTCAGAGAGCCACTTGTGCGTCTCAGTTTAGCGATTACTTCCTCAAGTAGATAGCAGGCACTACGAGCGTATGCGGTGATTACCTGACGCAAGCACCAGCAATCGCGCGTTTCGCGACTGTCGCGACGCGCGCTTTACTTGCAGCGCCTTGATGGCAGCTTCTAGGTCGCATATTGCAAAAGTGTTTTCTTGGTATCCTTTATCGCAGATTGCAATGCGAGCAGGCGCGCTGTATGCAAAACTACTGCTACCACACAGCAGTGTCTTAGCTACCGTCTCGTTTTCAATTGCTCGCCGATCAAATGTTGGATAATATATTGGCTAATTTTTCCCGCTTGAGACTATAGAGCTGTGGAATACGAGTGCAGAGGAGTGGACGATGCGCAGAAAACATCATTCGTTCAAGGTTGACACAGCGAACGCATGTGTGTACATGATATGGTCACAACTACCATGGCAACCAAATTATATAGAGACAAAAACACACGCATATGCAAAAAGAGACTACATTAAAAGTACAAATAAATAAATTTAAAATTTATATATATATAAAATACAATCTTTGAGTGAATTGGGAATTTATTTGCTGCGGAGCTAATTAAAGCATTATTCAAGAAAAAGCGTTGTTCTAGCCAATAAAAAAAACGCAGTTTGGGGCACGTGACAAAATGTCAGCTAATCAGACACGGCCACCGGAACCGTTGTACTGTTTTCCTATCGCCCGCGTCGCTCGCTCTTGGCGCGTGTTTGATTCGAATTTATGCGAGTTACAGGCGTTAGTAGATCACATTTAGTCTTTCCGTGAACCTGGCAGGTGCGGGACCTCTGCCCTCCAAAGCCAACCGGAGACTGACAACTGTCACGTTTCTTGCAAGCGTTTACCATGAATCGCACCGGTGTCGCCTCGGCGTGAGTTTAATAAGCACCGCTCTTGGCGTCGTGTTTAGATTCGGTCGCTATGCCTAATGTCTTGTGCACTTTCAGGTTTAATTGCCCTGTCTGCCTAGGGCCGAGCCAGAGCCTGGTATTCGGCCTGTGCCAGCACTTCGTGTGCGCGTCCTGTCTGTACGAACCAGTCGACAAAAGTTTGAGGCCTGTGTTTTTTTTCTGTCCAATCTGCAAAGATGCGTTGGCATTCCCATTATCCTGGTAACTGATGGCGGTGACCTTGGATACGCCTGTTTCCGCTCACTAGTAGCTAATATAGTCGGACGTCTCAATTGCGTTAACGTGAGTTTCGTTTTCATGCAGCCCCCGCTTTCTGGACACCACTAAAGAGATGATGAAGATTGTTGGCGTCGTAAAGTGCCCCCGGAAACGGTGCGGCGAAGAAATGTGGGCTTCGGACAAGAAAGAACACGAGAAGTAAGTCGCACTTTAGCAGTGACAGTCTGTTAGATCGCGTGTTGCTTATGCAAGCTACAGTTGCCTTGCCATTTGCTCCGATACAGACGCGTGTTGTGCGTTGACTTCGCTTTTCATTCATCAGGCGCCCCGTGCCTGCAGAGTATTTAGACGCGACTCTTGCCACTGCGCGATAAGCATCGGGGAAGAGAAAATTCCGATGCGCAAAGCAGGCATAACGCAAAACGCGGGGAAATCCTAGTGTTTGCGCGAGCCCACGATTTTGCGTTCACGTTTTCATTGTGTCGTGAGAATGCGTTTTGCAGTTTTGTTCTAACGAGAATCCGCGCTTGCTCGAAGAACTGCTGTTGACGGTGAACTGAAACACTTTGAACTTACGTGTTTTCGTTGGTTCCTGTCAATCATCTTATTGAACTCTGCTTTGCTGAAGTTCAGTTGGTGCTACGTAATGCTCCAGGAGCGAGGGTCGTCACCTTGGACAACTGCAGGAGTTGTCCAGCAGCTAATGCGTTGCGTTGCCGAGCACAAAGAGTGCCAGTTAGATTCCACACTTTAGGAACTGCCCTTCAGTGGAGTCGAAATACAAAAACAGTCGTGTTCTGTCGTGAGAATCTTGAAGGGGAACTCTGAAATTGCCTGATGGAGTCCATGCAGTGTCTACATGCAGGTGGAAAGCATGAAACTGCAAAGGGAAAGATGCCTTTCGCAAACCAATACTGCAAATTTGTATGTACAGTCGAGTGCATAATTTTAGAGACCACGGGAGCGCGTGCCGAGGCGCATCGCTACGCCTCTGGCGGCTGCACGGCTCTGCCCGGGAACGCGTGCTGCGAACGCTCGTACCATATCACCCAGCAGCCTGCCTTTTCGCTCGTTTCAACGGCGCGCATCTCCAAACGATGCGGACGACGCAAGGTGCCACTTCTGCAGTCGCTGTGCAAGCACCGGTACTCCCGAGCGATAATATAGCGGCGAAAATGCCTCTAATGTAATAGCATGGCTCTAGCGCGCCGTGCAATACGCTTTCTCCCTTGATGCAGCGCGGAAAACATGTAGTTTCTCAGCTTTTATCAAACGAAGTTGCGTGATATGCTCATCTTGCAGTGATGAATTTTGTGCTCTGTATGGAGACGTTATGCTAGCTCCATTTCTTGGTGCGAATATCGCGTGTCCAGAATGAATAGCCAAGAAACGCGATAAACAGATAAAGCCAGGAAAAAAAAAGAAAACGATAGCTATAACTGCTATCCAGGAAAGATCACTACTTTCAGTATTCATTCAAACGCCCATCGGCGGCAATCACTTGCGCCACACGAGATGGCATCGAATTGTAAAGCGCGCCCACGATCTCGGGGGCATGAACGAAGTGCTTTCCACTCCTCCTGTATGGCCGCGAATATGGTCTCCTTCGTTGAACTTCCGCGCCGCAAGTCGGCGTTTCACGAGACCCCAGACATTTTCAATGGGGTTCAGGTCCGCTCCTACAGGTGGCCATTCCTATGTGCGAACAACAAGGCCCTCAAGCAAAGATTTCACATTGCGAGCAGTTCGAATCGGGCTCCTGTCATCCTGGTACACGAAACAACCATCCTTGAACGGCCCATTCAAGACGTAAGGAAGCAATTCTCTCTCTATTATAAGGGAGTACGTGGATGCTGAAAGGTTCCTAACATTAAGAAACCGTGGTCAAAGTCCTTCCCTGGTCATAGCGGCTCAGACACTCGTGGAGCATCGGCCACTGGCAAAGACCGACTGCGTGTACTGTGGTGAATACCTGGCGAAGAAGGAAATGCTTGATTGGTTACACGGATTTATAAGAACGACAATGGCACATAGTCACTTTATCCCCGAACAATTTCGTCTTACTTGAAGATCCATATAATGAAATTTTAATTATGCGAGATCGCCAAGATGGTGCGAAATATTCGACATGTTGGTAAGGCACCCTCAGTACGTTCCAGAAGGCCTCGCAAACTGAACTGTATTTTTCTAAGAAAATGAGGTACAATATACAAACATTGGCTAAGGTGCTTAAGTTTGGCGAGCTGCTCACGATAAGAAGTAACACAGCTTAAAGAGAATCAAAGATAAGCAACGTTCTACAGCAAGTTCGAAGACAATAAAGTGCTGGGCTTTACTTGCCTTAACCACAACGTAATTAAGGCACACTGTAGTGGGTGACCTGCCATTAATTTTTTCCAGCTGCCGTTACTTACCCTGTGCACTACTCTTTCAACACATTCAATGGTAAATAGTACAAGGATGACATTAATGTAGAAGACAAATCGCAAATGTTACCTCGAGTTCATTGGACGCCATACTCACCGTTCCTGATCCCAGCGACTTGAAAACGTCGATTCATTGCTGAACACGACTTCTCCCCACTCTTCCGATCCCCATGTCTGCACAGAACGTGCAAACTGCAGTCGCATGGATCTTTGCCTGTCCGTGATGTGGGGCTTCTGGGCCGCGACGCAGTTGGCAAGCCCTGCTTCTGCCAACCTCCTACGGATAGTCCAGACGGACGCATTGAGATGCAACGCATCTTTATGCCTTTCGCTGTTATATGGGGATCAGCTACTACGGCGGCGATAATTAGCCTGTCCACTTCATCTGTGTATCTTGACCTTCCTGCACGGTCTCTGTCACTGATCCCCCCTGTTTGTCGGTACGCTTGGATGGCACGACTCACCGCATTTCTTGACCTTTGAAGGAGCCGGCAGATGACCCGCTGAGAAAAGCCTTGGATGCTTAACTCTACGATGCGTCTCCTTCCATCAGCTGGTACTCGTGGCGACATTTTTGAAGACGAATGTGGGGGCCTTGAAACCCCCGATCTTGTACTTTTTCGAAAATGGCACTGTCCAATGGCTGTCTAATAGCTGGGCTGTGCCGCGATATGCTGCCATTCAACTTTTGCTGTACGAGATAATTTCTTATCGTCACCAAGCCCGAAAGACCACGAAACAAGGCAAAGAATTGACAAAAATGACAAAATGTTACTGCGCCTGCGTCGTAAGCACGCGTGAAACTGCTGAGTGCCCAATTTTTCTGAGAGTTATAATCGCATTTCCACGCAGTCAGTAATGTGTACAAAAGGAGCGGTGTGGCGCCGTGCGAGGTATTTGGTCAAACAGCTTAAGGAATTAACTTTTGTTTCCTTGTGGGGCCTCCAACATTTGAGCACTTCGAACTGAAATGTGCTCGCCTGTAATTCACTGCAGTAATTCACTCTGGTCCTTCTGGCTAGACCTAAGTTGATTGATTATGGTGTCGCCAGACCAAAAGCACGTTGGTTGTGATGGTCCTTGCAGGTCTTGCATCGCGAAACGGTTGTCCGCGCGGGGCGGTGGCTCCCCAGCAAGTGCTAGCACTAGCCAGAGGCCCACCACCCGCCAGAGCAAGTAGACGAGGAGCAAGTGCTCTCTCAGGGTCAAGAACTGAACGTAGCATCGGGCCTGCCTTACTTGAAAATTTCTTTTTAGGTAAGCAGCGTCTGAGAAAAGTTTGCAAGTTTTAAGTCTTTAACCTCTTCACTACCAGCGTTTACATTTGTGGACATGACTTTTTAAGGGGCACACTGCACCTGAAAACTTTATTAAAACTTCTTTATCTATTTGAATCAATCCAGCGAGATTTCGTATATTTGTGTGCCGATTTTAAATGTTTTTTCCAGTACAATACATAGTTTTTATATTTTGAGTGGGATTTCGGGAGCCATAGTTTTCCTAAACTGAGAGAATTAGAATAGAATGAAACGCATCGGTATGACCTGGAATGAGTATAAATGCAAGGAAACAAGAATTGATGATCTAAACTCATTTAAACAAAAGTTGTGGTATGTTGAATATATGTGCGTACGAATGGCTAACGTGCCCAGGACTATATGCACGTGAGTGCCAAATAAAGTGAACAGTGCCGTCTGTCTACAAGCCCTTGAGCATGAACTGCCATGTTTTTTGGGGGACACAAAAACAAAACCAGTCGTACCCCAGCCTATCAGCTAATGGGTGCTGGCTTTTTATCTTCATTTTGTTATAGCCTTTTTGGGGTCTTGATTGATGCACCACACTCTTGGAACTCACAAACTTTGTTCAACTGCACTTACAAATGATATCCCCAGCTGAATCAAACACACTCACCGCTCGACATAATGAACGTGTATATAAGGAAATATTGGTTATAACCAAGTAAATAAAGAATAGTCTAGCAATGGTGTCGGGTATACCTTTATAACACATTTTTGGATATAACAAACACATTTTGAGGTAAGATGCAATTTTGTTATAACAAGATCTTAGTGTACGTCACTAGTGACACGCTAAACAGCATTGTACAATATTTTAACATACTGGAAACACAGCACCGCGACCGCCAATTCGGTGTGGCCGATTCGCCACGAGGGACCCGTGGGAGTGGACCGACGGTTGCTGGCGTCCGTGGATCTTCTTCAGGAGACATTCATCCCCATCGCCGCCCCAAAGCCAGAGAGACTCCCCAACGTTTTCTGTGCGGCCAACTAGCCTTGCCACCGGGCTGTACTGCTGGTTCTACTATGCTAATTATGATGATGATGAACCCACGTAGTCACTGCGTCACCCATTGCTCGGAGGCTGTTTAACCTAACTTGGCATATCTGCGAGAAGTGTGGGGGTGCTATCGCCCCCTGTAAAGTTGTTTGTGCCCCATGGTGAAAATGAATTTACTGGGAGAGGTGGTTGGCTCTTAAAGTCTGCATACTTATTTTTCAGTAAAAATGAAGTAATTTCTGTTTCAATGCAGTCGCAAACATAAGATACTCAATTCCAAGAAACGTTATGGATGCATTATGTCAAAAGTACAAAAAGATGCTTTCAATGGTTACCTAGCAATTTGGAGGCTTATCTTTTCACATGAAATCAAGACTATTTATTATTATTACATTAATGGAATGCTGACAAGATTTTGCAAAGCTGAGCTTACTCTGCCATACAAATCTCCTGTGTATAGAAATTGCTATGAGCTAGTGCTACGTTATATGTTATGAGCAAGTGCTTATAACGCATTTTATTTTTGTATTAGTCGATTTTCCCGTGGCATATCGGCCAACATTGACAGCAACTTGACATCGGTTTACAGTATCGACTCCAGCGACTTCACACAGTGCTCCAGCTAGTTGTGATGACGTCTGGTACCTAAACATTCAAAATTGGCCCTTGTGCATAGCCAAAACACTCAAAATTGCCGCCCATATGTCGCCAACAAAGCAGCGGTGCGGAGCGGCGGTTAAAATGTCACAATATCTTGCACGTGCCTGTCGTGACTGATGTCAAGGCACAGTTGGTACTGAAAAGTGTAAACCACACCGTGCACACATTTTAGTTGCGACCACAGGTTAGGCACTAAATGATTCGACAGGGCCTTGCTGAAATGGCGAATGTATGTGGTTACTTTGTTTTATGAGCTTTTAATGGCGTGTCAAATGGGAACTTCTGATCATAACAGTACTAGATAAGCATTGAATCCCCCGATCGATTCCTTTGCACAAGCTGTAAGAAGAGCCAATCACTTTATTGAATTTGACCACAGAACTACTGAAGCATCACAACAGCATCCAAGATGAAATGTCGATACTTCACAGAGTTCCAGACAGCTTGGAGTTCGCTGTAAATTTTATGTGTTTGCTATTGGCCACAGAGCGCTTCATTGACAGTTTGAGATCTTTACCAGTATAGTATGATATACGTTCATTATAGTGGAATCTTCTAGAAGTACCGAAGCACTTTCTCAATAAACCCAGTATTATGTTCAGGTGTATATTCATTTTTCTTTTATGTTATTGAGGAACATTTCACATTGTTTTACGAGGTGAAAATGAAATTCATAATTTGTTATATCCATGATTATTACTAGATTATTCTTATTTAAAACTTGAAGTGCAATGGAAAATTATTTTAGTTGATTTTATAGTAAAATCGCAATAATTCAAATGCTGATGATTCCATACCTTTAGTTATTTAATCGAAATTCGATATTTTGGTTGGCCCTCTATTTTTTCAATGTACAGTAGACTCTCAGTAAACAGAACCTGAAGGGACCGGAAAAATATGTTCCATTTAACAGGAGTTCCGTGTACTAAGAGGTGGACATGGCTGCTGAATACAAGCTGAAAACAAGCATTGCAGAGGCAATAGTTCCATTTAAGCAGTAGTTGCGTTTAACAGATTTCCATTTACTGAGCGTCTACTGTATTTAAAAGCCTCTTAATTCAAACTCCAGTATTCGGTTATTTCACACTTTCTGCAGGTTCATTCCAGAAAATATTAGCTGCTTTTCCGCTACTATGTAAAAATTAGTGTGCTTATATAAGCACAGTCTAAAAATGAAAAATAAGTATTGGAGGCTTTCAAGAAAAAAGGCTTTGCGAGTAAACAAATATATAAAACGAAGCACACGCATGGTAAATCCATAGAATACAGAACCAATTTAGAGAGGGGAAACTGTAGTCTTGACAACGGTACGCAAGATAAGCAGCGGTGGCACATGGAACAGCGGAGGGCAACCAAGAGATAGCGTTGAATGAATAGAAATTGGAAAACAAAAAGTTTTGTTTTAGGGACGAAAAAAACGGCCGCGTTCTTTTAATTCCGTAGCAGGTGCGTATGCGCCTACGCGGTCGCCGACGCCGATTCTTTATTCTGTGCCTATCTCTTTTGAACAGAACTGAACGAAAGAGACCGGGACTCGTGCAGGTCCAGGGGTGTCTTGTTATCTTTTGCCCACTTGTTTTAGGCGCATTGATACGCCCAGCAGCATATCAAAGCACCCTTCGGAACCAAGTACCTGTGCATACAAAGGTTGCATGAAAACGAAAGTCATTCATTGGCAGCTGGCACCAGTAAAAACATTTCATGAGAGAGTACAGGGAACAATATTTTTTGATGGCAAACCAGCAATCATTTTTCAATGCAAAAAAAAAAAAAACCTATCGTGCTAGAAGCATTATCAGGAGTTCCCAAACGGCACACCTTCGTTTTCAAAAGCAAACCAAACAGAAAAGCGTGTCTCGTTAGTAAGAACTATCATTACAAAACAGTCATAAAAATCGTCGTGAGGTGCTTCAGCAACAGCTTCGAATTGCTGCTCCTGCTTTCGCCGATTACAGCTTAACATCCCCACTTTTTGTTTCATTACGACAAACTGCGGTCAATCTGAGGACACGAGGAGGTTGGGTTTTTCGCAAGGAAATTACGGTGGAGCGAATGTCAAGAGAAGTGCAAGCATTTAGAACACGTGCAGGATCAGTGCAAATGAATGTAGTGCACAAGTACACAACACTGACAGCGATATCAAGGTCTCGGAGAGAAATCACCGACAAAAAATAACAAATATGCGCGCATTGGCCAAAATAATTTCCCGGTCATCACCGAGGAACTTGCCCAAAATGACGCCTTTGCCGGTATGGCTGTTCCCGCAGCACTACGTTAACGAATAAAAATGTGCTAGAAAGAAAACGCAACGCAGAGGACCACGCCAATCACCGGATAAACACTAACTGCCAATATGCGCATCGGCTGCCCCGTTGTTCCCGTCGAACCGCAGCAGCGCAGGGAACAAGCAGCGCATGTTTTCCGCTTCGTCACCGATAAGAGAATCCATAACAGAACTTGCATGGCACCACGATCGCTAAACAACTTTAGTGCTTAGAAGTACTGCGCACTACGTGGAATTCAAATTTCATCTTTTATCTATAAGAAACAAACACTTTTTTGCGAAAATAGTGGCTCTCTTCACTTTAAATTTTGAGCTTTCTATGGTGCCGCTAGCGGATTTTTTGGTGTCTTCGAGGGCAGATTTGAACGGAGCCACTATGGTTGTTCTTTAGTTGGCGATTTTTTCGCCCCCCATTGGCAATGGGTGGAACTTGAGACTTTCCCGAGGCCTGGTAAACCGTGATGCTTCTCAGCTTGTATAGAGAGCTTTGTGCTGAAGACACATACCCATAGCAATGTAGTAGTTGGCGATTCACGATTTCTTTAAAAGATCTGATCAGCAGGAAATGGCCTATAAACTTGTGGACTTTGTATCTATGCTCTCTGTGCACTGCGTTCAGTAGCATTTAAAAACACTTGAAAAATTTTGAAATGTGATGAAAGCAATTTGTGTGACGTCACGTCACCCAGAGTCATTTATCTGAGAACTTCTGATAATTCAAACTTCTTGATCATTCAAACGAAATTGAGAGGTCTCTTAGAGTTTGAAAAAATGAGAGTGGACAGTACTTTGATATTCATAATGTCTGTGTGGCCTTGTGTGGGTCAACAGTATACAAGATGAGAATATTTGGTTGTGCCTACTGGATAAAAATATTGGGGCTGAAAGCTTTAAAAGCCCACCGCAAGGGTGTACGTTTATTCCATCTCTTCCAAATTACCTACAAGCTCTGTTTTCGAGTGCAAGAAATGGGCCATGTGTGTTTCTTTTAATAGGTGCGACTATTTTATCATGCATGTTTCTTTCATAGTTTTTTTTAAAGTTGGTTCTATGAGTTGAAATTATACTGAAATGCCTCAATAAAACAATTGTATGTATAAAATGCTCCATAGCTAATAAAAAGTATGTTGTGCATTGCAAGGCAATGTATGTAGACACACATTCACAGGTACTGTAATGTAAGTGTGCAACAATCCTACTGGTCAAGCATTATTAACATCCATAGCTAATAAAAAAATATGTTGTGCAATGCAAGGCAATGTATGTAGACACACATTCAGAAGTACTGTAGTGCCCCGCCGCGGTGGTCTAGTGGTTAAGGTACTCGGCTGCTGACCCGCAGGGCGCGGGTTCGAATCCCGGCTGCGGCGGCTGCATTTCCGATGGAGGCGGAAATGTTGTAGGCTCGTGTGCTCAGATTTGGGTGCACGTTAAAGAACCCCAGGTGGTCTAAATTTCCGGAGCCCTCCACTACGGCGTCTCTCATAATCATATAGTGGTTTTGGGACGTTAAACCCCACATATCAATCAACAAGTACTGTAGTGTTAGCATGCAGCAATCCTACTGTTCAAGCATTATCTCGTATATGCCCAAACTTAGGAAAATTAACAAAACTGATTTATTTCCCTAGAATGTTTGCTTCTACGACTTCAGAAAACTGAATAAAGCTTTTGTTAAAAAAAACTTGTTCGAATAATATTTTTTGAGCCATACTATATGTAGGACACCATTGTTTTACACACTGCGACCAAAAAAAAGCGCTTATCACTGTCATATGAAAGTTACTGCATGCCCAATAACTGACGTACAATCTACAAAAATATCAAAAATATCAGCTGCACTGAGAACAATTTGACTCTATGTTATTTTTTTTTTGCGGTATGACATTCAGTTACACGCACACGAAGTAGCCATTTTGTGACAGCAAGCTCCTAAGTATTTTTAGCCCAGCGATCGCCTAGACTCGCATTTGACGAGGTTAGGGCATCATAAAGACGCCCTTCGTGGTGTCCTATGATGCTTTACGCATGGAAATCGCAATCGAAGACCTGCATGTCGCTACTCTTTTAACATACTATATTAAGACCTCATTTGAGCATTCATCTTGCATGAAAATAAGTTTGTTATATCCGAAAATTTGTTATAAATGTATACTGTCTCTTGCAATTTTTCGCTTACATTGTTATAAGTGATATTTCGTTATAACTAGATTTGTTATATTAGGGTTTGACCATATTGTGAAATTACCGTGTATAGAGTTATCGAAAAAAGAATATACCAGAAAGCTTTGTCACCTGAAACTGTCACAAATATTTAATTTCAGGTTCCTCTGCTGAAGTGTACCTGGAGAGGGAGCAAGAAGAGAAGGAGGTCTTCTTTGCATTTATAAAATAATTAATCAGCCAGTATTTTTTATTTTATATGCGTATGTACAAACAATTTTTTATTGTGGCAATTAGCGTTTATGCTAGACTGTCTTCTATGTTTAGTTTCATTTCGAGGCTAGTCTCTTTTGTGCTAGTCAAGTGCATTACCATTTTAATGCACAATGTGTGAAATCTTGTTTGCGTTCTAAACGATTGTGATGTGTGAAAAAAAAAGTGTTAAACTGTGTGTTTTATGCGTACAAAGTCGTACAACTGATATTGATTGTATCGCTAAGTTTTTGTAGGAAAAAAAAGGTATGCTTCTGGCATTTTACTCTAGTCCTGAATGTACAAAGAGAAGAGTGCTTTACCTCTCTCCTAGCCGATGCCTCTAAAAACTCTTGTGATAAGGTACTGTGCTCACGGTACACAACTCAACATCAAAACTTGAATAGCAAGTAATTTGTGCAATTACATGAAACAACCACATCGTATCGCTACGAATCTGGCCCCCAAACAAGTTGTTGGCACAGATGTAAGTGTACAAGCCAGTATTACATAGATGTGCCACAAACTAAAGCCCATGAAAAATGAAGTATATGCATTTCATCATGTGAGCACTGTACAACCTCGCTCTGTAGGTCGCCCACAGAGCGAGGTTGTCAAGTGTCTGCAAGTGTTATGTATGACTGTATCTTTGCGTTGTGATTTTCTAAATAAATAGCTATTTTCCAGCATGTGATGGCTGTTTTCCAGCTCGCTGGCTGGTTTTGAGAGGGTGTATAGATCCACCACCAACCATCTGGTGCGTATCGAGGCAGAGATCCGAGACACTTTGGTCCACAACCAATACTTCCGCGATATCGAGAAGGTTAACGACACAACATGGCATTTTTGCATATTAAGAGACTTGTCTCACCTGGGTGTGCGCGGGAGAATGCTTTCCATAATCGAGACTTACTTGTCCAATCGGATATTCCGTGTCCATGTGGGAAGTGTTCTCTCTCAAACATTTGTGCAAGAAACGGGAGTACCGCAAGGCGGTGTACTTAGTTGTGCACTTTTCATCAAAATGAATTCCCTGCACATTCCCATCCCCTGCAATATGTTCTATTGTACGTATGTCGATGACGTCCAGCTTGGCTTTTTAAGTCATAGAAACTAGCAATGTGTAAGCGGCAGGTTCAGCTAGGTTTAAATAAGGTCTCCAAATGGGCAGAAGAAAATGAATTCCGACTGAACCCACAAAAAAGCACGTGTGTTGTTCTACCGAAAGAGAGGCATGTACTCAGAAGCTGACATTCAACTGAATGGTGAACGTCTATCTGTTAATGCCGAGAATAAATTCTTGGGCCTAATCTTGGTCCACAAGCTAACCTTCATACCACACATCAGGTATTGAAAAACAACGTGTAAAAGCCATCAATGTTCTAAAAGTGTTGTCATATACTACGCTGGGTAATGACAGGCAAAGTCTCGTGAATTTGTATAGAAGCCTCATTCGCGCCCGCTTAGATTATGGGGTCGTTTATCAGTCTGCTACTCAAAGTGCTTTGAAGATGCTGGACCCGTGCACCATTTGGGCATCCGCCTTTCTACGGGTGCTTTTGCACCAGCCCCGTAGAAAGCCTTTACGTTGATTCAAATGAGTGGTCGCTTCATCTGCAGAGAACTTGCATGTCCTTTGTGACCTTAAGGTGAAAGCAGAAAAAAAGCACCCCTCATACTCCACTAATAATGATTTGTCGAGCTCCATTCTGTTTCAAAACAGACCTTTGATGAGGCAGCCCTACTCAATTCCCCTGAAAGGTCTAGTTGAGGAAACTGGCGTGTCACTTGAACACAGTTTAATGGCTCCTGTAGCATACCCGCCACCGTGGCAGACTATAGAGTGCCATGTATCTTTCCTTGAAGAACAAAACACGCGGGCATGGCCCACATCCGAACATACTTGAACATACTTCCTGGAACTTCAACACAAATACACATGTCCCGAGTACTTTACAGATGCCTCTAAGTCTAACTTCTCTGTGTCCTACGCTGCTGTCGGCCTATCCTTCTAGGATGCTCGCCCTCTACATTCAGACACTAGTATCTTCCAAGTGGAAGCTTACGCGATACTTGTGGCCGCTAAACACATCAAACAATTACAACTACAAGAAGCAGTAATGGACTCCCTCAGTGTGGTAACAGCTCTGCAAACTCTTAAAAAACAGAAAAACCCTGTCCTCATCTCATTTTACTCTATTTTATACACACTCATACAACATGTTCTAGTGGTCTGGGTGCCAGGGCACCGTGAGATCCAAGGCAATGTGATGGAGGATCAGCTTGCTGCATCCGTCCACGAAAGCACTGCCTCTACACCCATATCAATCCATGCCCTTGATCTTAAATGTCTGTCAAACGAAAGCTCAGGGACTACTGCCAGAGCAAGTGGGATAGACACACACAAAACAAATTACACGTTATTAAGCCACACCTTGGTCATTGGCCGCCAGTATATGCGCATGATGGGAAGTTTTCTCCTAGAAGAAGTGTGTGAGGACAGTTGTTACGTCACTCGCATGACGATAAAAGTGATAATCTTTAGCGAACTATACTTTATAAGAAACCATCCAAAAGCATAAAAACAGTGAAGGAACCAAACAGGACAAGGGCTGGACTAACAACTAAATATTTGTTAAAGAAAGCCCCCATACGCATGAACCATCAGCGCATGCGTAAGTGGGCTATCTGAGCCTATTGCGTTGCACATTTAACTATACAAAGCCAAGAATGAAGCATGTCAAGGTGTCGCAAACAGCGCATTTTCACAAATCCAAAGTATCGACACCACGTGCGCCCGTTAACTAAAAACTGAGGGTTCGCATCGCATATGTCACGCGTGAAGTTATAGAACACGCGTGAAGTAAGGCGCAGATTACTCGGTTTTATTGTCTGACGAGTGCATGACAAAGTGGAGCAAACAGAAGAAATTACGTACTTAGTGTTTTATCCGCATGTATTCATGTTCTGTGCAGTACTTCACACGAAGTTGATGGTGATCCTAATCTTGTCCAACGGTCGACCTTGCTGAACGTGCCAACTGGATCGATTGTTTGATAGAGCATACCTCATCTGTTAACTGTGTTGATTGTCTCTTTCTCTCTTCTTTAAAGGCTGTGATCCGATTACTTAACAGACTTTTTCTGAATACGCATGCCACAAACAGCTGGATCTACTCGTTTATAAGGAACTATGAGCAACTGCTTTCATACGCATTCAGGTCAGTTCAGTTTATTACCTTAATGGTCCCCCTTTCTTGTAAGGGCATTACATTAGGAGGTTTCTACATTAACTAGCGCTGACCTTCCCCTTTGAACTGTAAATGTTCTTTCACTCGCTTTCACAGTCGTACTGATTACAATTCCAATACCGTCTTTCCACACCTTTTATTCATACATGATTGTGTGCAAGAGAATATGTAGACTCGATCGTCAGCCAGAATATGTTAGTAATATATAGTCCTCGCCAAACACTGCCGTTGGCGCTGTCACTGACCTGTATTCGATAAATTAAAGTGAGCTTGAAAGTACCTTAAAACTTACGTTTGAGTCCAACACTACCTTCCTACGTTGTTATAGGAGTACTGAACAAGTTTAATAGCGAAAGCTGTTATTAGATCCCAACTCGGGTCACCCACAGTTGTCCGCCACCACTGGTGTCCGTAACCACATTGCATGAAAATAAAAAACAGCATTAATGGCACAATGAGGCTCGAACCCGGGTTGATGTTGGAAAGCAATTGCGTTAATATGACTTATAAAGCGTTTTCAAACAGCAAAAGATCAATTAAACAGTCGTTGCACAGTGCGAACAGCGTAGCGTGTAGGTCGTCCAATGCTCCAACCCATTGCAAAAGATTGTTCTTGTTCAGCCATTAACTGTGGCGCATACCCACTTCAGGCATAATTCCTCATCGTCGCCAGCCACTGCATGAATAATTGGCACAAATTTCCTTGCAAGTGTTTAAGACACTACGCTTATCAGAAAAATGACGAAAAATGGCAGAGCGAATGCCGGCCTACCACCCTAAAATTTTTATTATTAATGCCGTAGTGGGTATCAAGCAAGTGTACTCGCAGCAGTTACGCAATGAGTGTTTAGAAAAGGCTCTGAAAGGCCGCTCTTCTAGCTTTCGCTGCGACTGTGCTGCGCCTTCCGCGCAGGCCTGGCGTTTTTTCTGATCCAGTTATTTAACTGTAACCGGCCGACAAATTGATTGCGATGCGTTTACTAAAGGGCAGAATGAAGAAAGGACCAACAATTTACTGCCAAAGAAAGCCATGTTTACTAAGAAAAAACTTGATCGACGCGTCCAAACCCCCCCCCCCCCCCCCAAAAAAAAAAAAAAAAAAAAAAAAAACCCCAGCGACGGCGCGCCGACATTTCGGCGCACACCTCTATATAGGGACTCTGTATATAAATTGGCAGAGACTGCTGCGCCGCACGGAAGTGACGTCATGCATATTTCGGTTAGGCACTTTGTTTCAATAGTCGGGAGTGTCTAGCGGTACGTCTAGACATAACGATAAAAGCCGGTAAAGTTACGTCCAAACAAAAAAGTGAACAAAAAATGTTAGTTAGGTTTAGCGTGACAACAATACAAAATTGGCTTGTTTGCCATCTCGAACAGATCGGCAGCTGTGGCGTAGTTGGTTAAAGTAGAGTGTACTAGAACAAGGGGAGTGCCCGGACCGGCCGCAGCACCAATGCATTAAAAGTGAGGCCCAAACGGGGTCAAATCCGCTAGTGGCGCTGCGATCGGTAGTCTGTGACCTGTCGTCGTTTTAAGAGCCGTGCGCAGCTCCGCCGAAGTGGTCGAGGGGTAGAATGCTCGCATCCCACTAAAAAGACCCAGGTTCGAATCACCGCTGTGACCATAGATTTTTTTTTTAATTTCACGTGTACAACTGTATTGTTTGGCTTTTTTTTTAAATATGCCTTCAGTTTCTACATATTGCTACAAAACATTACGCGAGATATGAAGTAAAGGAGAAAAAAACTTGACAGCAAGCGCATTTATTTGCAGCGCCACCGCACGGGATTCAACGAAAACTTAAAAGCATAGCTTGCGAGATTTTAGCGAATAAAAGAGAGACGGTGTGCTTTCACTCGCCTGCGGTCGCCGCCCACTGGCTCGCTTAAAAAAAGAAAAAGAAAAACTGAAAGTAAACGATTTTCAGTCGGCGGGAAGTCGCGAAGGTTTGAATACTGGTAAAGCAGCGATGTTCTGTCTGCTCGAGTAAAGCGATCACGAGGTGTGCGGAAAGAGGTGAACGTGTTGATATTTT